CACTGCAGAATTAATGCAGTTTGACACCGCTTAATTGTCATGGCTCCATCCTATGGATTCCTGGGATTTGTAGTTTGTCGTGGCATCAAAGCTCTCTGACAGAGAAGGCTAAGTATCTCACAAAACTACAGATTCCAGAATTCCACAGCACTGAGCCAAAGCAATTAAAGTGACGTCAAACTACATTAATCCTGCAGTGTAGGTGCGACCTTTAGAATCTCCTTTTTGCAAATTATTTTTAATGAGAGCCCAGCCTACCCCACTTTTTCTTGTCTTCTGTCTAGCTGGAAAGCTTTTTGCAGCACTGGCATTGGTTTTGGGGGGAATGGTGAAGGATAAGACTTTCATTGCTAGGTTGTAGCAACATGTGTGCAATAAATAATGCCATAAAGCTAGACCCTTGAGTCCCTATGTTGGGAGGAAGGTGAGATATTATAATAATAATACCGTGAAAGAATGGGATTTTACTCTAAGCGATTCTACTGTAGCTGCGTGTGCTTATGTACAACAGGCAAGGTAAACAGCTGCATGCAGAATCCCATACTGAGCAAAACAGAAAGAAAAAGGGTAAATAGATTAATCCCTCAAATCACACCAAGTAGAGTCTAAACAAACAGCCAGTTGTGTTGATCTGTATGAACAAACCATTTCTAGCGGTTTTCACTTCTACCAGGAATAATTATCGTCAGAAGCCTGTGCATCTTAATTCAACCCTAGAGACCAAGCCTCGTCAAAACAGGCTGCATTGCAACAGAGAAAGCTTGCAACAATATTTTGTTGTGGGGGAAATCCATATACCTTAACTGAGCAGCCTCTGCTAGTGAAAACAACACAACACTTTGAACCCGCATTCATCTGGCTCCATTACAACTCTGCTCATGAACTGACAGCATGAATGGGATTCTCTTGCAGTGCTCATTTTAGGGGACAATCAGTTGCGCTGAATAAGGTGGCATCCAGGAAAATCCATCTGGCATTAACAATCACAGTGCGGAGGAACATGCAATAAGCAATCCCACACACACACATACCAGGCTGTCTACAATAGGGTTTGCAAATCACAACACCAATTTGCTGATTCTTTCCCGATTCTGAGCCTGGTAAATGAAAAACAAGACACAAGATTTCTAATGTTTTTGTTCCCAAAACTTTTACAACCTGCCTTGAAACCAGTGATATTCAAAGCCATTAACGCCTTCTCAGGCTCACCACCTGGATCTTAAGTACCTAAGATTTCTAGGCAGTTTATGCCATATTATTTAATTTTCAATTCTACCTTATCTCCATGGATATTCTGCAAATCATTATACAGTCAACCCTCCACATTTGTGGCTTTGACTTTGGCGGATTTTATTATTTGCAGATTTGATTAGTATGTTCTCTCTAGGAATCTCTAGGTCCTCCAGAGAAATTCTTCTGGAAATTGACTGGGGAGTTGTGCTGGAAGACCTAAAGATTCCTAGAGAAAACTTCTCTAGGCATTTGTAGGTCCTCCAGCATGATTCTGTGGTCAAATTCTGGCAGATGTTGACCACAGAGTTCTGCTGGATGACCTAGAGATTCCTAGACAGGTGTCCTCTCAGGTTAAACAAGTACTGTTTTTGTAATTTGCGGCTTTCCCACTTTCACGGGGGTCCTGTGCCCCTAACCCCAGCGAATGTGGAGGGCCCACTGTATATCATCACTATCATTGCACACAACACTATATGAACGCAAGCAAGAGAGAGGGAAAGAGAGATCCCTGCTTTCAAAGGTCAAAGTGGAACTAATACACCTTTCTCAGTATCACCTCCCCACCACAGCCCAGTTTTATGGATTTTTCAAGTGTGCATTTATAGAAACTGCAGCTTCATGCCAAGAGTTCTGGAACAATTGCAGCTTTCTTGCCAAGTCCAGCTGTTTACTTCTCTAGGTTAAGCCAGTTAAGGGGAAAGGAACAGCACAGGACATCTTGGATGACAGCCCAAGCCTTTCTCAGAGCTGTATGTAGAACATGGCTGATCAATGCCAGCTGCTACAACTGTCCTTTCCCTCTGAAGTCTCCTTGCTTTCACCTACCAGACTCTGGCTGGGTGTTAATTGCTTTACATCCCATCTACATGAAATCATAGAGTTGGAAGAGACCACAAGGGCCATCCAATCCAACCCACCACCATGCAGGAACTCATAATCAAAGCACCCCCAACAGATGGCTGTCCAGCCTGTTTAAAAATCTCCAAAGAAGGAGACTCCATCACACTTGGAGGTAGCATCTTCCACTGTCAAACAGCTCTGACCATCAGGACATTTCTCCTGAGATTTAGGTGGAATATCTTTTCCTATAGTTTGAATCCATTGCTTCTTGTTCTAGTCTCTGGGGCCATGGAAAACAAGCCTGTTCCCTCTTCAATATGACATCCTGTCAAATATTTAAACATGACTATCATGTCCCCCCTTAACCTTCTTTTCATTAAGCTAAACATTCCCAATTCCCTAAGCCATTCCTCATAGGGCATGGCTTCCAGATCTTTCACCACATTTACACTCCCTATTGCTGGGAGTGCCAAGGTAAACTGCAACCAAAACAGAACATTTTCCCACTTTACAGAGCAATACAGAGCAATTAAAGCAATATAAATAAGGAAAAGAAAAAGGCAGGTCTTTGCCCCAAGGTGCTTACAGTATGAATGCTGATGGGAGCAGGAAACTGGAGAGGAATGAGCGATCTAAGGCCAAAAGCAAAAGATCAAGATACCCAGGCCATCTTTTTTCCAGTCCTGGGGATCTAATTCATTTCATTTCATGGGGTCCAAACACACTTGCTACCACCAAATAAGGTTGCCAGATATCAGGTCCTGGCCCTGAGTCTCCAATTTTCATGTGTCATCAGAATGGAGACAAGGGTCTTAATTCTCATTTTGGGGGGATCAGGTTCAGGCACGAGGAAAGTTGTTATTCAACTTATGGATAGCCTGTGAATAAGAGACTTTGTCACCCGATCAATAAACTCAGGGCTTGCAGATTCAAGGCAGTGGCTTCTTTGATTGGGCCTGTCCATCTATAGAGCTAAAGCCAGCATGGTGTTGTGGTCTGAGCATTGGATTATGACTCTGGAGATCAGGGTTCAATTCCCCGTTTGGCCAAGGTGACCTTAGGTGAGTCACACACTCTCAGCCTCAGAAAAGCCTGGAATGTAATAGGGTCACCATAAGTCAGGAATGACTTGAAGGTACACAACACAACCACAACAAACTGTAAAGTGGTCTTCCTCTTGTCCTACTGCCTTCCACCTTGCCAAGCATCATTGTTTTTTCTAGTATGTCTTCTCTTGATATGACCAAAGTATGCTGAGATCCTCAGCATTTTTTCCAGAAATGCATTGATTTTCCTCCTATCCATCCATGGTAATAGGGAATAGGATGGCTTGTATGATTCTAACTTTTATGCTGAGTTGTACAGTAGTCCCTCCACATTCGCTGGGGTTAGGGGCACAGGACCCCTGTGAAAATGGAAAAACCGCAAACAGCAAAAACACTATGTTTTTATTTGAGAGAACATCTCTCTAGGAATCTCTAGGGCCTCCAGTGCAACTCTGTGGTCAACATCTGCAAGATCTGCAAGATGTTGAGCATAGAATTGCACTGGAGGAGCTCCAAATGCTTTGTGGAGTGTTCTGTCTAGGAATCTCTAGGTCCTTCAGTGGGATTTTTGGCTAAAGTTGACCATAGAGTTGTGCTGGAGGACCTGGATATTCCTAGAGAGAGCATAGTAATACAGTCCTTGAATAATCAAATCCGCAAAAGTCAAAGCCACAAAAGTGGAGGGACAACTGTACGTCTATGCATTTTAGAATCTTTTCTAGTTCTTTCATAGCCACCTTCCCCATTCTTAAATCTTCTTCTGATTTCCTGGCTGCAGTCTCCATTTCTATCAAGGTTTGATCCCATACATACACTTTCAAACCTTGATAGAAATGGAGACTGCAGTCAGGAAATCAGAAGAAGATTTAAGAATGGGGAGGGTGGCTATGAAAGAACATTTTCAATACCTATTTTAATTAAAATAGTAAAGACAAAATATTTCAAGACCTATGAATATATTAAATATATATATATATTCATAGGTCTTGAAATATTTTGTCTTTACTATTTTAATTAAATTTTAATTAATTTTATATAATTATTTATATTATATTTAATTTAAATTTTTAATTATTATATATATACACACACACACACAGACTATATATATATATATATATATACACACACACACACACACACAAAATATTTATACCCTGCTTTTCAGAAACGTTCTCAGATCTGCTTACAAATTATTAATTAGACAGTTCCTTGCCCTCAGGCTTGCAATCTAAAAAGACAAGACGGAAAAGGGAACGGCAGTGGGGAAGAAAGGGATCAAGTGTCCTGGGGATCAAGTGCATTGAGCCATGGCACTTAAAGCGCTATCGAACTGCACTGTTCCTGCAGTGCGGATGCACCCATAGTCCTCTATCCCAGGAGTCCTGGCTTCCACATAACCCCTCGGCCTTTCAACCCCACCAGGCTCCTCCCCATAAAAAGAAAAGAGGACCCCCATAACCCCAGCCCTCCTTCCTAAACACGGCTCCCCTCCCAAGGCAACAAAAGAGTCCCCCATCCTCTCCTTCCACTCTTAGAGGTAAGGGTTACAACGCCTGGCTTTCCCCCCCTCTCCCAGCAATCACAATGGTACCTTCCGCGAGATGGGAGGGGGGAGGCCCCTTAACCGCCAAGTCCCAGCGCCGCAGCGGTTTCCGCACTTCGGGACCGGACTGAACCAGCTGCCTCTCACTCGTTGGAAAAGGGGGAACTGATGCCAGGCAGTCCTGACGGAGGAGGAGGAGGAGAAGGAAGAGAAAGCGATGCCTTCTGGGAAATGTAGTCCCTCTCAAACACCAAGGGCACTGGACGAAATACGACACTCACCGAGCCAAAGGAGTGGAGCTTGGGAAGATGGGAAATGTAGTCCTGAAGGGGAGAGTTTTAGTCGGAAAAGGGTTAAAATAATGCTGAAGTAAAACATATTTCAGAGAGGGGAAGGAGGGTGGGTTTGGGTTTTATTTTGTGTGTGTGTCTTGAATTATTTTAAGCCTTTAATATTTTGATTAAAATATAACATTTTGATTTTTAAATTAGAAAAAAATATTTAATATTTAAAATATTCATAATTCTTGAAATATTTGAAGCCTTTACTATTTTAATTAAAATATATTTTAATTTTTAAATTAAGAGTATTTAATATTTAAAATATTACTAAGTCTTGAAATAATTTATGTCTTTGCTGTTTTAATTAAAATATAATATTCTATTTTTAAATTAAAATATTTAATATATAATATTTAATAGATTCATAAGACTTGAAATATTTTAAGTCTTTATTATTTTAAATAAGATATAACATTTTATTTTTAATTAAAATATTTAATATTTAATAGATTCATAGGTCTTGAAATATTTTGTCCTTACTATTTTAATTAAAATATAATATTTTAGTCTTGAAATATTTTAAGCCTTTGATATTTTATTTAAGTTTAATATTTTAATGTTTACATTAAAATATTTAATATTTAATAGACTCATAACGTCTTGAAATATTTGTCTTTATTATTTTAAATAAGATATAACATTTTATTTTTTAATTAAAATATTTAATATTTAATATATTCATAGGTCTTGAAATATTGTCTTTACTGTTTTAATTAAAATACAATATTTTAATTTTTAAATTAAAAATATTTAATATTTAATTTAATACATTCCTAAATCTTGAAATATCTTAAGCCCTTAATATTTTAAAGTATAACATTTTTAAAATTAAAATATTTAATATAGTCATAAGTCTTGAAATAGTTTGACTTTAATATTTTAATCAAAGTATATTTTAATTTTTAAATTAAAATATTTTATATTTAATATATTAATGAGACTTGAAATATTTTAAGCCTGTAAAATTTTAATTAAAATAATGTTTTAATTTTTAAAATGAAAAATTATTTAATATTTAATATATTAATAATTTTTGAAATATTTAAGTCTTTAAAATATTCCAACACACACACACACACAAACAACCCTCCTCCTCTCTCTGGAATATGCTTTGCTTCAGCCTTATTTCAACCCTTTTCTCATTAAGCTCTCCTCTGGAGGACTACATTTCAAAAATACTACATTAATTCTTTACTACATACTACATAAACATTTAAAATATTAAAAATATTTTTAAAAGGCGAGAATGTTGGTTGAAATCAAAACCTTCCCTTCCTCTTTTTTTTCATGCAAGAAAGAAGTTTTCTTCATTCCCTTCCAGGAAATGCAGTCTAGTACTAAATTAAAATGGAGAAAACTTATATTTATTAATTGTGCATGTGAAAGGGTCCTAGATTAATATACTTCATTTTAAACTGTCACAGACTCCAATCTGGTTTCCCCCCTCTAGAAACTACATTTCCTAAGTGCTTAGGAAATGTAGTTTCGGGGAGGGGGGAACCAGATTGGAGTCTGTGACAATTTAAGATGAAATACATTTATCTAGGGCCCTTTCACATGTACAATTATTGCACTATGAATCCATCTCAACTGCTGTGGCACCATGCTGGGAGTTGTAGTTTCATGAGATAGCCCATATCTTCCTTGATCAAGCCTAAGCATCTGGCATTGTGCCATTTTATTTTCATTTATTTTATTATATTGTATTCTATTCTCTTAATCTATTATTATTGTTCTGATTTTTATTGATTTATTGTTTATATTTTGTACATTGTATTCATTTTATTGTGCAATCCTGCCTCGATCCATAGGGAGAGGCAGGAAATATAAATAAAACTATTATTATTATTATTATTATTATTATTATTATTATTATTATTATTATTATTATTCATTTCTTCTCTACTGCTTTCCATCTTTCCTAGCATTACTGCCTTTTCTCAATTAAATTCTGATCAATTTTAATTGCTTATAACCATAGGTCATCACAATATAAAACAAAGAGGTAGTGCAAATATCAAACAAGACCCATAGCAATATAGCAAGTACATTTCTATACTGCTTTATCAGTGAACTAGCACTCCCTAAGCTTTTCTTAAAAATTAATTTAAAATTTCAGATATTTCCAGTTCCACTAAGCGTTATCAGTAAGAATTAAATGCACAAGATGTACAAGATACACACAAAAAATTACTGCATTTTTAAAGGAGCCGTGCCTTTTCAATATGTGACCAAACTACAACAGCCTCAGTTTGGGCATCTTGGCTTCCAGATAATTCAGGCTTATTCTGTTCAAGGACCCATTTATTCGTCTTTTTGGCCATCCATCCTCATCATTCTTCTCCAGAACATCTCAAAAATGAGCTGATTTTCTTCTTATTCACTTTCTTCACCATCCAACTCTCACATCTGAAGATGGCGATGGGGAATACGATGCCTTGGACAATCCTCACTTCAGTGTTCGGTTATATCTTTGCATTTTAGGATTTTACCCCGTTCTTTCATTAGCTGCTCTTCCCAATCCTAGCTTTCTTCTAATTTCTTGACTACATTCTCTGTTCTGTTCAATGTTTGATCCAAGAGATGGGACCTCTTTCACTCATTTAGTTTTCTCATTTGAATTCTATCTAACATCAAATCTTGGTTTCCCTTTATCAAATACATTCATGCATTTCATTCTTGTTTTGTTCCTATTTATTTGAAATCCAGATACTTCTCCATAGATTTTTTTTTAATTTTTTCATTAGAGAATCTATACTGCCTAACAGATTTCCCAAGGTTATGACCAGATCATTGGCGAAAATTCTTAATTTGTACTTGCATCTTTTTTTCACACCTTTGATTTGCTTGTCTTCTCAAATTTTTTGAGCAGAACTTCCATTATAATTAGAAAAAGTAATGGAGACAAGGGACAACCTTGTCGCACTCTTTTAAATATTTTACATAATTTTAATTTTTGTAAATCTTCCATGGTCTTTTTGTTTTCTTGATGTTCAACATCAAGCCTACCTAGGCACTTTCCTCTTTGACCCTCTTCAGTAATTGCTCCGGGTCTCTTTTTTTTGGTTTCTGCTAGTAATATGGTGTCATCTACATATCTTATGCTCCTACCTCC